ATGTTTTGAAAAACCATTCCAAACTGTCAGAAAAGCAAGTAACACGTGTTTTCTATTTCTTCCAAAATTGCCTTTTCAAAATCTGGATCAATGAATAACACCAAACAAAACCTTTATGTTGCATTCTAAGTTTAGAATTTTGTTCACCTGAAGCAGAACTTGTGTAAGATCAATAACATTTGTCTATTATACATTAAAATTATTTACTGGATTATAAAGGTTTTGTTTGATGTACTTGTATTTTATACCAACTGAATCAGAACTTTCTTAGTTCTTTGATTATTTTACTAGTTTTGAAAATATAAACAGAGAAAATTACAGTTAAATGGATTCAAATTTTGACGATATAATCAGCAGTATAGTCATAATCACCATAATAGCATGTCAAGTAATAATACTGTATTTACTCACATATAGAACGAGATGTGACTTTAAAGATCAAAATTAGATTTTTTAATACAATTTTAATTTTATTTCATTTAATCACAAATAAAATATTATCAAATGCATGTATTAAGGCAAACAACCATGTTTTCTTGATGTTATCACCTTTTGTGCCCTCCAAAGCTTTGTTACAACTCTCCTCTTTTTCACTTTCACTCCAGAAAGCATCGTCCTCTGATTTGTTGAATGAATTTGAAATGCAGCATTTCTTGAATGACTTTGCTATGAGGAATGTTCTTCCACACAACCAATACCCACGTGTGAAGCTTTAGCCCGTTTTATGTGGCCTGTTGCAGTCATTTCATGACTTTTGGAGATAGGCCAGTCAGTGTACAGTTTCCTCACACAATCTTTAAATGGCTTGTTGATGCATTGGCATCCAAGGGTTGTAATTATGATGTTATTTCCCCAGGAATCATCACCAGAGTGCTTTTGTTTTTCCCTAGAAGATTTTTAACATAATCTGTGATTATGCAAGTGTCCCTCGAATGCATCCATCATTAAAATTGACTGTAGTTTTAGAACTGCTCCCAGTTGGCTTAACCATACTGTTTTTAACCAGTCAATCATAAGTTCGTTGTTCATCCAGCCTTTCTTGTGACATTGAATAACACCATCTCTTAGAAAAGTGTCATCTTTAGGGATTGTTTTCTGCTTCAATATAATATATGGTGGCAACTTATGACCATGTGCATGCCAGCATGACCATGATTCTTTGCTTTTTATTCCCCCGACCAAATCAATACTTGCTTTTCTCCTTTTTGATGAACAGTTGTATTACTCGGTCTCATCTGCATTCCCAACTTGGCTTATTAAGAATTTAGTCTGTTTTCTTAAATTGATGACATGCCTCTGAAAATGGACCAGCTTGGCTTCATGATCAGTGGGTAACTTTTGAACAATGGAAGTCTGATGTCTTATGGAGAATCCTGCTCTTTTCATGAAGTGGGATGCCCAACCATAACTTGCTTTGAATTCTTTGAATGCCGTGGAATTCAACATTCTCCCACAAGATCTCTGGCTTTTGCTTGGAGAATTTCCAGTCATGGGCATACACCTATTGCACATATGTTTCACAAAATTTTGTAGTTCTTCTTCTAACTTTGAATATTCACCAGTTTTTGGTCCATGAAATGATTTTCTTGTACTTTCACAATTAAACAATGAATCTTGCTGATTACATCACTTCCACACACACACTTCTGATACACTGAACTGACTGCCTGTGACACGGTTATTTTTTCCTGCATGCAAAATTACTTTTCTCCTAAAAGAAGCTGTGTACTGTGTTCTCTGTACTTTTTTCATTGTCAAAAACAACAGTATCTTTCTATTACACAAGCTAACAGTAAAATACCATAACAATGAAGAGTGACCTGTAACTAAACTGATATTTGATGAGTCAGAAATACCAACCAGTAATTCCTTTCCTCAAAGCTATTTTTGGACAGTCTCTTTGAAAGCAACATTCACCTTGACAGCACCCTTCTATAATGGCAGCACAAACTATACATGGGTCACAAAAATTACTGTAAGAATGCAAAGAATTCTTCGCTTGTGTGTATAGGATGACTTAGATTTTGAAGCAGTAAAAAATGAATAAAAACCTCGTCTTATACATGAGTAAATACGGTACTGTATATTGCATGTTAATGAAATAAAGATAGAAGTTAAGTGTTTTTAACACTACATTATATTGAAATTAGTTGATAGAATATCAAGTAAGTAGGAGTTGTCTTAGAAAATAAATAACATGTGTCTTTTTTCTTGCACCCCAGCCAGAGAGGCTTATGCCTTAGTTTTAGAACTACCAATTTATGAGAATTTATGAAATTTATGCTCTTTATTTTATTTATGTCTTCATTTTAGGTGATTCTTTTGGTGGTATGAATAGATTGAAGTTTACAACAAAAGATACAGATAACGATCTTTGGGAAAAAAATTGTGCCGAAGCCTATAAAGGAGGATGGTGGTATGGTAAATGTCACCGATCCAACTTAAATGGTTTATACTTAAATGGTTATCACAGTACTTATGCCGATGGAATAGAATGGTATACCTGGAAAGGTCATAATTATTCTTTACCAGAAGTGAGCATGAAAATAAGAAAAATGAAATAATTATGAAGTATAAATAAATGTATTGGACTTTTCACATTATATTCCATTGTGTTTAGAAATAAAAACTGAATTTAAAAAAACAAAAATTCTTAAATAAAAACAATAATATCTGAACTAAATGTATTGATTCATTCGTTAATTATGATGTGATTCACTATCCTTTTCCAAGAGATGGTAAAAGCTAATGACATTATAATCAAGTGTTGCAACCTTGAAATTCAAATTACAAGTATGTGGTATGTGCATAGATAGTTAATTAGAAAAATTATACTTTTGTTTCCTTTTTATATATATATTTTGGTACAATGAAAGATTGCACTTCTCAATACCAACTGTGCCTATTTTAGGGGAGATAGTTATGGGATAATCTGTGGTAATTTTGCTACACATGCAAGTACTTAAGCCAAACCCTTCGTAGCTATGGGGATAATTGGGAAATTACGAGAAAGCCACACCATGTTTATGGATTTAACAGTCACTATCTCCTCTAAAATAGACACAGTTGGTATTGACCAAATGCAATCTTTTGCTATATTGACTATATTATATTTTTAAATAATACAGCATGTAAAAGAAAATATATCCACTGTATAAATCAACATCAGAAGTACATTTCCAAGGTATAAATTAATTAAAATAAAAATGAACATGTAAAATATATCCATCAAAATCATTCATTGATATACAGATTACACAAGGCAAACATGGTTTGTTACATAAAACATGAATGTAATTTGCATGTATCTTTTTGAAGCATATTTACCCAATATCATTAATTTTCAAATTTTGTTTCATTTAACATCATTGAAATGGAAAGTATGTTTAAATTGGCTTTTCTATTAGGTGGAGTTTACCACTCATTTCCACAACTGGATTTTCCCTATCAAAAGTCAGTTTCACTGACTTAATATATGTCTAGATACAAATGAAACAGTAAATAACTATTTAAGAAACAAACTTTTACAACCATTACACCCTAAATATTTCATTACAGATGACTTGTCCTCCATTGTAAGTTTTGTTAAAATTTGTGTTTAAATTTCTTCTTACTCACATAGACTCTTAGCAGGCTTTTTAATAAATGATTAGACAACAGGGAAGACAAATTAATGTAAAACAAATACATAAAAAGGAAAAAATTATAAAAAGTTAAAAAACTTTTCCTTTATAAATCTGTTTTACATCAATTTGTTTTCCCTGTTGTCTAAATCATTTACTACAGAGATCATTATGAGTATGCATGTAAGTTCTTATATAAGAATATTTCGTTTGATGTTCCATTTTGACAAAAATCTTGCCTGATGAAGACTAATGTTGAAAGTATCTGCTTATAATGTTGAAAGTATCTGCTTATATGTTGTGTTTATAAAGAGTTTTAATACCGACAGTTGTTTAGAGTGTTGTTTTACCATTTTCTGTCAGCAGATGTAAGTTTCAGTTTTGATTATAGTTAGATAAGTCATCAAAAGTATCTCAAATGAATTATCAGTTAGATAATTCATTTGAGATACTCAAATGAATTATCTAAAGAAAAATCTCAAAATTATTGCTGCTTATCAATTAAAATTTTATCAATGATTAACAGAATTATACATTCTCCAATTATTTTTTCCCCCATTCATGGAAAGAGCTATCTAATTTTTCCATATAAAATTTTGAAAATTATTCTAAGAAATGTTTATATATTAGCAAGTAACTTCATAACATTCATATCAATCCATATTTATTCTTAGTAAAGATATTCACATGTATTTGAAGAAAAAAAAAATTATTATTTTGAAACCATTTCTTGTAATTTCAAAATTTAAATGTACTGCTTAATTTTTTTTTATTAACTATAAATGCCAGCAATGGAATTTTTTAAAAACACTAAACAATATAAAATATAACTTACAGAACTTTCAAATGAGATTGTTGCTCTCATTCAAATGAGAGTATTTCAAAATTTCTGCAAATGATTATGTAAAGTTCTTGCTTCATCTTAGTACAGATCTAATTTCTGTGTCTACTTTTTTTAGAAGTTAGAGATAAAAAAGTCATTGAAGTGTGTGTTAATTCCTGGAAGCAAAAAAAACTTACTTTATGAGTTATGTGCTATATCAAATTTCATTCATGTGATTAGAGAATGAACAATTTACTATATAAAAGAAAATAATTTTATGTCTGACATAAAATTATTTTATCTTTATCTGGGTAAAATTTTGCTAATTATAGACAAGATGAATTGCATTTACTTTCTGATAACTGCCATTTTGTCTGTACATTTTCAAAATGCAAACACTCAGATCGTTTCTCAAATTGCTTCTACTTTGAAATACATCGATACTCTTCTGGATGAAGGTATTGTATTTGTATACATATTTCTTAATTAAATTAGTTTTAAATACAATATTTGATAAATTATTTATTTCATAGTTTTAGGTAATATTTTGATGATTCACGATCCATTTCCGGGCCCGAATCGACTGTCAACAAATTCAGAAAAATGGCAATAAAGCATCTGGCATTTATAGAATTTGGCCTCTGAACTGGGAATCAGTTGGGAGTTTCCTTGTTTACTGTGATATGGACAACGATGGAGGAGGCTGGACGGTAATACTAAATTATTTAATCAAATGTTTTGCTAATTACAAATCTTTATAGTCTATTTTTTAAAAATTCTAATGTACATTTTTCATCTTGAAGGTAATTCAAAGAAGAGGAGATTATAAACAACCAAAAGAATATTTCTACAAGGGTTGGGAAGAATATTCCTTAGGATTTGGTAAATTGAATGAAGATTTCTGGCTAGGTAGGCGATTTGTCAAGAAATTTCACACCATAACTCCATTCAATATTAACCTCAATACTTTTGAAATAAACTTAGGTAATGACAAGATATTTGCATTAACAAATCAAGGCAACTACTCTCTCCGAATAGACATGAAGGACAAGGAAGAAAATAAACGTTTTGCTCTGTATAATGATTTCTGGATAGAAAATGAAAAGCAACAATATAAATTGCACGTTTCTGGTTTCACAGGAGATGCAGGTATGAATATTTTTAAAATAATTTATTAGCACAGATAAAATACGAGATCTCTTATACATTAAAAATTAATCTCAACTGTTAGTACGAAGCATCAATGCACTGAGCTACAGAATGGGTTTTAATTTTGCTCATTAGGTAGGGCTGAAATACAAAAACTGTTGATTGAACCACTGATACTTTATAAAGAAATTTTTAATTCACCCTGTTTTTATTTTGACATCTTATAATCATTTTGGAATATGCTAATTTAAATTTTTACATAATTTAACAAAACTGTCATTCAATCTTTTATTCTTCTTAGTTCTTATTTCTGACATTTAGCTTACTATTTACTCTCAGATATCCTAAATATTTCTTAAGTTCCTTAAATTTTGGCAATTTAATTTGAAATCTATATTCAAAACAGTTTCCTTTCTTCATATTCATTTTAAATTAAACAATGACAGAGTATGCTAAAAAATGTACCACCGTTGTTCAAATCCAAGTGCATAATAAGTGATTTGCAACAAACTCATGCATTCATGTAATAACAATTGGGTAGTGTCCAACCCATACTAACCACGATGTATTTTGCATCCTGGAACAAATTTGGACTTAATCCCTCACAGTAATTTCAGAAATTGCAATTACTGTGAGGGATTTCTGCACAGTACATGCAGAAATTGTCTTAGAAAATAAATAATATGGAACATTTTTTCTTGTATCCACTAGAGAACCACATGCCTTAGTTTTAGAACTGCCAATTTAATAGAATTTATGCTCTTAATTTATACTCTACTCATGTCTGTTTCAGGTGACTCTTTCAGTGGCATGAATGGAATGAAGTTTACAACGAAAGACAGGGATAATGATGCTTGGGAAAAGAATTGTGCAGAAGCCTATAAAGGAGGATGGTGGTATGATAAATGTCACCGATCTAATTTAAATGGTTTTTACTTAAATGGTTATCACAGCACTTTTGCTGATGGAATAGAATGGCATTCATGGAAAGGCTATAATTACTCTTTACCAGAAGTGAGCATGAAAATAAGAAAAATAAAATGAAGATATCAGAAATAACTAAATTTTAAATTTATTAATGATTGTATTTTTTGTTTCTAAACATAATGGAATATGTTGTGAAATTTGAATTTGAAAAACAAATTTTAAAATAAAAAGTATATCATCTAAACTAAATCTATTGATTCATTAATCATGATGTGGTTCATTGTTCTTTTCCAAGAGTTGATAAGAATGACATTATAATCAATAAGAACTACTATCTTGAAATTCAAATAGTTATCTGTGCACACAGCAAACACAAGTAAATTATTAAACTTATATTTTTGTTTCTTCTTATATGTACTATATTTTTAAATAATACAATGTAGAAGTCAAAGGTATATGATATCATTGAGAGGATAAAACATTCAAAATGGCAATGAGCTGGATTCATTGCTGGATGGCAAGACAACACATGAACTACAAATTTCCTAGACTGGTCTCCACAAGGGTTCAAACAGCCAGGATGAAGACCCCCAAGTATGACAGTGTGATGAATGATGAAATAAGGAAAGTAGTTGACATAAATTGGAAAACCAAAGCATTGTACAGGGAAAAATGGAAAAAATTAATGGAGACCACATTCCAGCAGTGGCTTGACAATGGTTGATGCTGACATCTACTGTGTAAATCAGCATCAAAAATACATTTCCAAGATGCTCATTTTTATTTTAATTTATATGTAAAAATCTATCCATCAAAACTATTCATTGATATACATATTCCACAAGGCAAAAACTTTGTAAAAGTTTGTTAAGGTATTTACATAAAACATGAATACAATTCACACACATCATTTTTAAGCTTATTCACATGATATCATTAATTTTTAAGTTTGATTTAATTTAATATCATTGGAATGAAAAATATGGAAAAACCAATTTAACATTAGTGGAACTCACCACTTATATTTCCACAATTGGAGTTTCCCCATCAAAAAGATTCTCAAAATTACTTCTCAAATTGGCTATATTCTTTCATTGATTTTTGATAATTTTTCAATTTGTTATTTATGAAAAATGATCCTTATTAAATTTTAAAATTTGAAACAATGGCATATTAGCATTTAACATATAATTTTTTTTTTTTATTCTCTAAAGAATAATAAAAAAAACAGCATGTTTACTTGGTTTGCTGCAGCTCTAGACAATTGAAATTTGGAATAGAAAATCCATACCAAAATCACTTGGTTTACAAATTAAGAAAGAAGTGACAGTGCACAAGTATGGTTATATCTACCATAGTTCTGGAAGGGAAGATTGGATGAAGGTCTGGGTAGGATAACTGCAATGCAACCACACAGTAAGCAATAGGGTTTGAGTCCCACTTCAGGCAGATTCTTTTTTCCATAACCTTCTAAATTATTAAAAATATTAATTTAATTCAGCAAAAGATGCCACCTAATGCCTATCTCTACTGCCAAATTACTTAGCATTTAATTATTGATAATATATTACTATAATTAGCATTTAATTATAGTAATATAGCCCGATATAATCCAGCAATCATTTGACTTTAATGTATTACTATCAAGTTTTAGATGCTGATATTAGGGTAGGGTGTTGTCTGTTTCTTAACAATAAATGGGAAACTGAATGGAGAACATAATAATGAATAACACAAAATCAATATCTCCAGGAATAAAACTCCAAAACAAACTTGGGATCTTAAGAGAAATTTGAATTACTTTAATTAAAATAATCTGTGTATTGTAGTTTACATTCATTGCAATATGTTTTAAAAAAGTTCCACTAAGGAATTTTTATATACATTTGATTATGTAGTAAGTTTATATGGTTAGAGATTTGAGAAATTTGTATATGGATGGAGAAGGAAAGAAGACCTTTAATAGGATAAGAAAGTATATTAAAATAAAAAGATAATATTAAATTGAGAAAAGACTGCTTTTATGTGGAAAAGCTGTATTATTTCAATTTAATTGCTTTTCTTTCGTACAACAAAGTCTGTCCTGGATTTTTTTAATCAGCCCTCATAATTAAAAAATGTTCAAGGCGAATAAAAATGCACTTTTTAGATGTGGAACCTAAACTCTTGTAATAATAAAGGAAACTTTAGAAACTGCTAAAATTGTCCCCCTATACTTGTAAATTTCAAAAGTAGTGTGTAAAATCAGAAAAATGAATAATATACTGCCTCCTCTAATTCTATGATGCAGAAAATTGATAAAACTCCTGTTTTCTAAAAGAATAGGAATACCAATGACATTACTTTGTACAAATGGCACATGTTATAATTCATCTTGAAGTAATGAATATCTGCCAATTTAACATCATGTTGAAGTTGTTGTGAAGTTAACAGTTTAGAAGCACTACATAAAAATGTTTAATATGAAAAAATTCATTTGTTATTAATAATTTCAATTTTTATAGCTTCATTTGAATATCTATAAAATAAGCAATAGTAATTTTAATGAAATTTTATCAAATCATTATCAGAATTATAAATTCTCCAATTTCCCCTCCCTTCATGGAAAGAGATCTGATTTTTCTATATAAAATTTTGTAAAATTATTCTAAGAAATGTTCATACACTGTATTAGTAAATAACTTTATAACATTTCTAAGAATAAATATGGATTAATGTGAAAAATTTTTAGATGTTTTTCTAGGAAAAAAATATTTCTGCACCATTTTTCTAATTTCAGCATTATCTAAATGTACTGTAAACTAAATTATAATTTAACAATTTAACATAAAATCTGAATAAATTTAACATTAAACTATACATACAAGAAATGGAATTTTTTTGAAAAAAACAATATAAAATATAATTTAGAGAACTTTCAAATGACAAATTCTTGCTCTAAAGTTTGCATAATTATTTGCAATTTTAAAATGTCTTGCTTCATCTTAACACAGATCTACTTTCTCTATCCACTTTTTTAGGAACTAGGAAGAAAAAAATGATTTAAGCATATGATATTTCCTGGGAAAAAAAATCTTATCACACACAACTCATGATGTATCAAATTTTATTCATGTGATCAGAGAATCAAAAATTTACTACATAAAAGCTAAATTTTAGCCAGATAGAAAAATTATTTTAACTAATTACAGATGATATGAAGTGCATTTACTTCCTGATAACTGCCATTTTGTCTGTACATTTTCAAAATGCAAACACTCAGATCGTTTCTCAAATTGCTTCTACTTTGAAATACATCGATACTCTTCTGGATGAAGGTATTGTATTTGTATACATATTTCTTAATTAAATTAGTTTTAAATACAATATTTGATAAATTATTTATTTCATAGTTTTAGGTAATATTTTGATGATTCACGATCCATTTCCGGGCCCAATCGACTGTNTATAGTAATATAGCCCGATATAATCCAGCAATCATTTGACTTTAATGTATTACTATCAAGTTTTAGATGCTGATATTAGGGTAGGGTGTTGTCTGTTTCTTAACAATAAATGGGAAACTGAATGGAGAACATAATAATGAATAACACAAAATCAATATCTCCAGGAATAAAACTCCAAAACAAACTTGGGATCTTAAGAGAAATTTGAATTACTTTAATTAAAATAATCTGTGTATTGTAGTTTACATTCATTGCAATATGTTTTAAAAAAGTTCCACTAAGGAATTTTTATATACATTTGATTATGTAGTAAGTTTATATGGTTAGAGATAATTCAAAGAAGAGGAGATTATAAACAACCAAAAGAATATTTCTACAAGGGTTGGGAAGAATATTCCTTAGGATTTGGTAAATTGAATGAAGATTTCTGGCTAGGTAGGCGATTTGTCAAGAAATTTCACACCATAACTCCATTCAATATTAACCTCAATACTTTTGAAATAAACTTAGGTAATGACAAGATATTTGCATTAACAAATCAAGGCAACTACTCTCTCCGAATAGACATGAAGGACAAGGAAGAAAATAAACGTTTTGCTTTGTATAATGATTTCTGGATAGAAAATGAAAAGCAACAATATAAATTGCACGTTTCTGGTTTCACAGGAGATGCAGGTATGAATATTTTTAAAATAATTTATTAGCACAGATAAAATACGAGATCTCTTATACATTAAAAATTAATCTCAACTGTTAGTACGAAGCATCAATGCACTGAGCTACAGAATGGGTTTTAATTTTGCTCATTAGGTAGGGCTGAAATACAAAAACTGTTGATTGAACCACTGATACTTTATAAAGAAATTTTTAATTCACCCTGTTTTTATTTTGACATCTTATAATCATTTTGGAATATGCTGATTTAAATTTTTATATAATTTAACAAAAATGTCATTCAATCTTTTATTCTTCTTAGTTCTTATTTCTGACATTTAGCTTACTATTTACTCTAGCGTTACAGACATGGAGAAAACCCGGAAAACTCCACGTGGCCNTGAAATAAACTTAGGTAATGACAAGATATTTGCATTAACAAATCAAGGCAACTACTCTCTCCGAATAGACATGAAGGACAAGGAAGAAAATAAACGTTTTGCTCTGTATAATGATTTCTGGATAGAAAATGAAAAGCAACAATATAAATTGCACGTTTCTGGTTTCACAGGAGATGCAGGTATGAATATTTTTTGATAAGGTAGTAATGTAAATCAACAATCAATATTTCATATAAATGCATTTGTTTTTTTTTTCTATAATATAAAAAGTATATTAATTAAGAGCTATTTGATGGACTTTAATTTTCTCCACTTTGGGGAAGTATGATTTACAAATTATTGATAACCCTAATATTCTGTAAGGAAATTTCTTCAGACTAAATTGATTTAGATCTTTCTAAAACTGTATTAAAAAATACAATTTAATATATTTACTCTTCAGTTTTCCACTATTCTCCTTGCTGTTTTTCTTTATGAAAACTACAACTCTAGAATAATTTTTTTCTTTTCAATTTTCATTAACAAATCAAATTTGTTAATAGAACTCTATTGACATACTCCTTACAAAATGCATTTTGGGTTTTTTGGCTCCTCATCACTTTTGACATATCTTTTATGGATCCATGTGTGCACATATGCATACACAAAAGTTTATAGAGAAGTGTTTCCCAAAAATTCAAATAAAAAGCTTGTAAGAAAAAAGATAACTTCAAATCTCCTGACCTACCGTAGGGGTAATCTGTTTGAAACTCTTGTGGTTAGGTTTTTTCAAATCCCCAAACAGCCAACCCAACAAATATAAGTACAGTTGCACATTATAAATACATTCAATTCACAGAGCCAAGAAGAGAAATAATCAAACCTCTTATTGAGCTAGAAGTCATACAGTATATACAGTCTTTAGTAGCTAGTTTATTACAATGCATAAAACATTTTAAATAATGTTAAAATCATAGATTAAACAAAAAAACAAATACTTATTTTTCAAAATAATTTTTGCTTTTTCTGGATTCAAAGACAGCAAAAGGACAGCAGCATAATAGAAATGTTTCCAGAAATTCAAGCCATTACATTTCCGGCTGACGACAGCAAAATGCATTGTGTTTTAATCCAAATTTGGCACACAAAAAAATGATTTAATGTGTCAAATTCTATATACAAAAGATCATTGTCCAGAAAGCAAATTTTATTTAATTTAAGAAATTTTTATAGGTTACAGGTCTATTTAATTCCAATGGATTAATAACTACAGTTAATGTTTACTTCTTTCTTATTCAATTGAATTTCATGTAGATGCTTTTAAATTGCTTATGGAATAAGTGTATTGCCAAGTCCCTAACCCAACAGTTTTTTCTATACACAAACAAAAGAATATACAAATGATGCTTTCTTAGACTAAAAAGTGTTATCTAAAATTATTTACTAAAGAAAAAAACGAATTTCTAAAACAATCTCAGTTAACATAAAACAACCAAGTCCAATACATCAATGAAAGAAAATACAGTAAATCTTGGTAATCCAACTATTTGCTAGTTCAACATGTCCAGTAATCCAATACTAGTTAATTCTCTGGTATTACCAACACTGTTGCCAAGTTGTAGACAACTTCCTACTAGTTTAACTCCAATTTCCAGTAAGTTTAGTGGGAATCTACCAACTCAGCAATACTGATTACTGGTGACAACAGCACACTCAGATGTTTTGATAAGCAGTCAAACTTGCATTTCTCTCTGTCATTAATAGCTGACTCACTGTCAAATTTGTCTACATGCTCAATTGTTTTCATTACATCAACTGAATTAATATTTAATCACATTTTTATTACGTTTAAATTGCTAATTTGCCAAAATGTGGGAACGTCCAAAAATTCGGCAATCTCTTTTAATCTGACACAGTTCTGGTCCTACATATTGTCAGATTACCAAGATGTACTGTAATGTAAAATATATATAATAATACATAATATAAAATTTTAGATTATAATAAATGATTGATTAATTAATATGAAGTGCTAACCCATTAAATCTCTATGGTCTATCACAGCTTCAATCATTAAGGCAGATAAGATGTACAATGGTGTACCAACCATAAGGGAAATGATAATTTTTGAGTCTAGACAGGACTTGAAATCAGATCCAGCATAGTGGTTGACAGAGACTTTACTGTACAACCATATGAATGAATTTTAGATTGTTAAAAATTATGTGAACTTAAAATTAATAGTAAAAAAATATATTATCACAATTTCCTCTCAATAGCTTAATTTAAATTTATAATTAAGCACAGTTTATATTTAAAATATATGCTTTTATTTATTTAAGGTGATTCTTTTGGTGGTATGAATGGAATGAAGTTTACAACAAAAGATAGAGACAATGATGTTGCAGAAAAGAACTGTGCGCAATCTTATAAAGGTGGATGGTGGTACATCAAATGTCACAAATCCAATTTAAATGGTTTATACTTAAATGGTTATCATAATACTTTTGCTGACGGAATAGAATGGCATTCATGGAAAGGCTATAATTATTCTTTACCAGAAGTAAATATGAAAATACAAAAAATGAAATAAGAATAGTTATAATTTAAAAACCTTTTTTGTAAATGTAATGAATATATTTTTCGCATATTATATTAACTTTATAACATGTAAAAATTTTGAATTATATCTCACTTTTAGAGATATCAGGATTTAAAAATGCAAAGTCACAAATAAAGAAAACATTATAGTAACTTTTCTGAATAAATCAATAGATTTATTTAATTATCATGATGTGATTATCTATCATTATTCAACAACTGGAAAAAACTAACAAAAAATACTACAATTTTAAAAATTCATGCATCTGTCTATAAACATCATATGTTCAAATGTTATAAAAAGAAACAAAATTTTGTTACTATATTTCTAATACAATGTAATTTAAAAAATAGTCTGTCAAAGGCTCTTGCTCAACTTTCTTGGCACTAAAACAGAAGGTTAAGGAGACCATCAGGAAGTCTGATAATTTTCAATTATACAAGGATATAAAATTTAATAGAGAAATTTATATTATTAATTATTATAAATAGCATAATTTTGAGAGTAGAGATGCATTTTTAAAAATTGTAAATGCCAATAACAAGTACAATTTTCATTAAGCACCCTAAAATACGACGACTCCATCCCCTTAAGTTCTGTATTCCAAACTTTAATAGCATGAATGTCTCTTATGTACAAGTTACCATGCCAAATTTTGTTTTTTAATCTTTACCCCATCCTGAAATATAAACAAAGTAAATGTCCCCCACGCAGAATTCCCTCCTTCTGACTTCTTTGGGTTCTGAAATGTCAAGATTTGCAAAATACCTAGAGTGTCAAACATGACAATTACCATAGTTTCCCATGCCATGCATGTAACAGCTGGAAAAGTAAAATGTATACATATTCATAGCTGATGGTTTTTATTGCAATCTGTTTATCAGAATTGTTCATAATAAAATATTTTAAATAACACTATCTATTCAATATGGATGTCTAGATCATCATCATCTCAATTTTCTTAAATATGATTTTTGACAAACAGACTGATCATTAGTTTTATTTATATGGATAATTGCATAGCATTTAATCATTAGCTAAATTATCAAATAATCCAGTGAATTAAACAGTTATGATAAATTGTATTTACTTCTTAATTGTTTTGCATAACATCTGATTAACAATTTTAAACAAGGACTTACTTTTTAATGGATAAAATTTATGAAATAAATTACTTATTTGAATTTCTATAATAATTTAGTTAAAAAATTTAATGTAAAAAAATTATTACATTTGTAATGACTAACTTTTATTCTGAGACATAGTTCAATTTTGTCACTATGATTTTTGACCCAAACTTTTATGAAATAATTATAATGATAAACTACTTACTTCACCACAGGCATAATTACTCATAATCCACCCTGTATATTTTATTTCTATCGAATCTCCATTATCCACTTCGTTACCTTCCCCAAAATTAAGATCTTGAATTAAAAGCGAATTCAAATGAGAACTATGTACTTTCGCTTTAGTAAAGGCAACCTAAATTAAAACAAATTTAATCAGAATTATTATCTGTCAATGAAAATAAAATTGAAAAATAAGTTTTTGCCCATTTACCTATTCAATGAATATCTTAGAATGTAGAAGATATGGAAAGTTAAGGTCATTTTAATTAATAAAAAAGTAGATTAAACATAAATTAATTATAACCCTCTAACTGCTGTATACCCTCGGGCTATAATTTGGCAATAATAATTATAACTTACTAATAAATTTGGTCCTAGAGAGAGGCGTTAGACACCATCTTGTATTAAATTCAATAATTATAATTAAATTAAATTAAATAAACACATCTGCACAGTAAGCACAAGTTACAGGTTTGAGTCCTGCTTGGGTCAATTCTTTTCTACCAGTTTAGTCTAAATTTATTTAATTATATTATAATTATTAAATTTAATACAAGATAGCACCTAATGCCTCCCTCTAGGGCCAAATTTATAAGCAAGTTATAATTATTATTGCCAAATTATAGCCCAAGGATATACGGCAATTGGAGAGAGAATTATTGTTATGTATTGGGTTTGATGTGGATGTTTATATATACAGTAAAAAATATCTATTGTATTTTTTACTGTATATATTACAAATATACAAATATATTTATATTTGTTAAAGTTCTCATTATTTATTGTTTTCTGATGCATTGTATCCATTATTTTTAAGACAAGTCATTTTCCTAATTTAAAACTATCTATTAAACTTGCTCTAAAACTAATCATTCTTCAGTTACTAAAGAATATTATAATATTTTTCATTATTACAGTGCCTAATAATTATATATCATAACTATTATAATATGGAAGATTCCTGATCAAATTCACACAACTGTAACCAACATCATTTATTCTTTTGTTATAATAAATCTTTTTTAGTTACTATTTACAATAACTAAAAATTATAAAATAAAAATGAATAATATGTAANCTGCTTATTTTTGTACAATATTATCCTAATCTGAAATATTTGCAAGATATTATTTCAAAAATTTTTTATACAATTATTATAATACTTAACAGAGCAACAAGTTGAAAGCAATATATTAAAAATAAAAATTTAGAATTATTATTATAAATTATATCATGCATTAAAATATTTAATTATAATAGTTATAAAAAATACTATTACAAGATCATATTAAAAACTAAATAAGCTTATATAAAAGCACAAGTCTTATATGGAACTGTAAGAAAATACAAGTCTTTATAACTTAGCTGTTGTAATTTGTTTTAATTATAAATTTTTTTTATACATCTGTATGTTTAATTTGCACAATTTTAAGTAGTGTGAATTGTATATGTTATCATCTATACTAATATTATAAAGAGGTAATGTTTGTAAGTTTGGATGTAGCGGGTAATCTCTGAAACTACTCATCCAATTTCAAAAATTCTTTCACCAATATTTAGAATGGAACTTCAGGATGGACATAGGCAGTGGTGATATTAGAAATATTTAACAAAGGGTTCGCTAACAGAAAATTTTTCCTTAACAATTTTTTTTCACTCAAATGGTGCATCGGAAGGCTCTAGTTTAGTAGTGTTACAGAGTATAATACGTATATTTTAATATATTTTTTAAAAGAAACAAAACCACTGAGAAATGTTACATGTGTTTAACAAGGTTCGGAAAACTTTGAAAATGTTAACAACGAGTTCGGCCGAACCTGTGCGAACCCGCTGAATATCACCACTGGACATAGGCTGTATATTATTTTGGTAAACATTCATATAAATTAAAAGATATCATCTAGGTTAAGGCTTTTATGTCCAACAGATGGCGCTATGAGTATGACGACCTACATTTGCTTTTCTGTGAGGCATTACGCTTTTCTGTGAGGATGAACTAAACCAGGTCATCTTCTATCTATCTATATTAATAAAAATGTAATGTTCATTTGTTCCTACAGATTTTTTTGAAATTTTGACAATGCTGCAATATGCATGTGTTTTCATATAATATACATTCGAAATGCCCCCCACTGGGGAGGGAGATGGTTAGGATTAAGGATTACTGTAAAGAACTCTGCTTCTATTATACTATTTTAGATGCGGTTTTTTGCGTTTTTGATTGCATTTTAATAGGGTACGTCAACAGAATATACACTAAATAGGGTACGTCAAAAAATATACACTAAAAAGGGATTTTTCGATATTCCCCCCTCCAGGGGAGAGGGACAGGATTAAGGCTTACCATGAAGAACTTGGCTTCTATTATACTATTTTAGATGCGGTTTTTTGCATTTTTGATTGCATTTTAATAGAGTATATGTAGAGAATGTACACTGAGAAGGGATTTTTTGAAAAATTCCCCCCATGGGGAAAGCATTATACATTTATAATAGATACATTTTGAGCCACAACACGTGGCAGGGTCTGCTAGTTTCTAATAATTATAATAAATCAGCAGCAATAATATTTGTAAATATTTTCATCATATATCCAACAAAATTTAATCTTAATGGATATAACGAACAATTATGATGATACATTACAACAGTTTTTCTGTAAGCTTTGGCCATCATAACCAAACTAATAGTGTCACTGCTAGTATGCAAATGTGAGGTCAGCCAATTAGGGGTGAGGTGTTTGACAGCCGAGCGGCCATTACTGTCATGTGGGCGCAGAATGACTCACTGAGACAGGTTTACCATATAACCATTTAATAATATACAGAAATCTTTCTTACAATAATCCAATAAGTCGGGCAAAAGCCTATCCAACGATGGGTTACTGTAACCGTTCCCAACAAATGGAAAAGTTTGAATGTTTGATCGGTCCTTGGGTCTTTTCGGCATGCTGAACGCAGAGAACGATGGCCCCGGGGCACACACCAGCACTTTTAGTGATGTGCTCAGTTGACACGTCAAACCTCGGCAATTCTGGACACGAAAGTTGGCGATGTATCTCTGTCGGGAGCACCGAGTTCTAGTAGGTGAGCACTATGCACCAAAACCCCGTAAAGTTCCTGAAAACGCAGTTTTATCGATTTTTCCACCGCGGTCGCCTCTCCATTGGTCTCTCTTCGTCACATGGTGACAATTCGAAACCCCACCGAAGGGCGCGGGAGAGGTCAACATCACGTCGGAACACAACTCCTCTCCAACCTTGTTTTCCTCGACTTTATCTATTGTTTAAACTCTTTTAACAAGACAAAAGGTTCATTGTTTAAATCCGATCTTTAAGTTCTCTCTTTTGCGCTACAAAACATGACTCATTCAAAAAGTCGTTAATTCGGACCCCGTTTGGGTCCTCACACAAATAAATGACCTCAAAAACACCAAGAACTGACAAAAACAGATAATTCAATTTAAATTTTATTCCAATGAAGACATGTGGCTCTTAGGCCTTTTGAAGTGTTAACATTCTGAACAAACAACAAAAAACAAAAGAAAGAAAAAATGATGATAATATTAGCATGAACGATTTAATCAAAATAACTCATAAATAAAACTATGGAAGAGGCAAATTCTTGACATTTTTCTTAAAGACTTTATAACTCAATGTATCTTCATATTCATTGCTCAAGTTATTTCAAAATTTTAGCCCTTGGTATATTGGTGATAATTTCCTTGTGAAAAGCCTGATAACTGGGAGAAGATAACTAAGTCCTTTTGGAGTTATGCAAAGACACAATGTGATATTTTTCACTCAAAGCTCCAAGATAGCTGTGTTTGTGTTGTTTTATCTTATCAATTTATAGCTTTGCAGTAAAACTAGCTTTGTATTTAGGTTTTCATATTTTATCAATTTTGTCAATTTGATAAATATTCTGATACTGCATAATGT